CAATGAAGATAACAGTTCAAATAATGTAAATAGCTGAAACTTTGTGATAACAATGACAAGCTAAGGACTATAGTCTGAATGTAAATAGTGTAAATAAACATTTTTCCTATCATAAAATTTTCAGTTGGCAGAAATGCAAATTCCCCTCCCTTCCAGATGCAGACTCTGGGAAGAGGGAAAAAATTTTGTAATATCTACAAACTGATCTGTTTTACCATAAAAGTATTGGGTTGGCCAAAAGATTTGTTTGGTTTATTAAATTTTCTACTTAATAAGATGTAATAAATAAGCAATTTTGAATTTTGTGTTGACAAGAAGTATAGTACAATAATGAGGTAATTAAATTTATAATTTATGACATAAAATTTACTTTCTCACTTTAAACAAAAAAAAAAGGGTTTAAAAAGCAGCTTGGATTTGTAACAGATTTGCAGCATTCCCTTTATATTATGTTGTCACCTGTTAGGGTTTATTATAATTTTAAAAGGACACCTTTGATTTAAATATGTAAAAGGCTGTTGGGATTAGTATGTTAATCCCATGAGTCACATAAAACAGATCAGCAGATGTTTGCTTTCAATTTCATTGCTTCATTGCATTCAACATGGCGCTCACAACTGCCGAGATAACTGCAATCTTTAGAATTGATATGAAGGCACAGTTCTACTTGAATTATTAAAGAAAAACAACTTGAAAAATTCTTACTACTAAAAGATAGAAGCAAATCAAGTTTTTAATTTAATATGATGTCCTACAAAATATTGGATATCAAAGAAAAATTAGAGGGGAAATTAACTGCAGTTAATTAAAGTAATTTGAAGTTTGTACAAAAAAAAACAAAAAAAAAACTTTTTTTTTTTTTTTTTTAAAAAAAAATTTGATATTGTCATTTAATCTTTTCTTTGTTTCCTTATGCAAGAGATTATTAATAACTACAAAATAGATTTTTTTTTTTTTTTTTTTTTTTTTTCCTTGCCAACATGAGTTTCAGTATTTATTTTGGCTACCCTTTGTATTATTGAGAAGCGGCTGCAACATTAGGGATGGCCTATTTGTTATTTACCTATTTAAAAGTATAGATTCAAGACTCCCTCTTAATTAAATTCTTAAACAAGCATATGATATCAAGCTTGCAAGTATTCCTTGTGACTTCAGCTAGATTTCCTCTTTTTGGCTCATCACTGAGAATGCGGAGGAGGGGACATCTGCCTCTTCAAATGGACATAAGCCACAGGTGGTGACACTGATAATTAGAGGATATAAAAGGCTTAAAATAGTCTGACAAGAAATGCTTTCAACCTGCAAGTTGTAAAAACATTGGTCTGTCTTTCCTCTGTTTGCAATAATAGAAACAATAAATTTTGCTAATAAATTACCTCCACATCATTAAATCTGACCAATTCTTTAAACTGCTTGATGTTGTTGAACATCTCAGTATTGGGTAATTAGGAACTAAGTAACTAATTGTTGGTCATTACTATTGAGCAGTCTCATTGAGTATCAGATTAGTAAATAATTGTTTCATGATTTTGTTTGACCATGTTGATAGCACCAGATGAAGGAAATCCCTTTCCCTTGGCGACAATTGCTGATTGATTTCAAGTGCAGAAAGAATAGGATAATTTCCCCCCCCTCACCTCTGTGATCAAGTTAAAACAAAAAATAATTCTCTATTCAGTTTATGTGGAAGACCATCAAACTTTTCAGTTTAGTAAGATCACCTCCTGAGCCTGATTTTATTGAAATACTAAGAATAACCACAGCTTGACTGATAATGACAGAAAACTGAAAGCAAAGAGAAGAGCGTTCATAATTTAAAAAAAAAAAAAAGTTTTATTTAAACGTTTTTGATGTGACCTATAGAATAATTTTTATTGTAACTTTTTTAGATATAGTTTTGGTACCTACAAATGTCTTAGACCAGAAAGTGCTCCCTCCCCCAAACAAATGGTGATTTTTCTAAGCTTAGCTTAGATGTGGCACAAGGCTGAAAGTATAGGGTACTCAGTGAGGATTGAACTCACTGCTGTCATTTTTTTTTTTTTTTTCCTAAAGCAAGACAAGCTTGCCAACCATTGCACCAAATTGAGGTTGACTAAATGGGATGGGGAATTTGTGGGGAAAAAAAAAGGTAGATTTATTTGTTGTCCAAGAGAAGGAAAAGGTAATAGTATCTATTTCTACTTGGAGTAGAGGTGATATTGGGAGTGGCTGGTGAAATCCATAACCCCCCACCCACCACCACCACCACTACCGGGTGCCACCACAAATTATTACTGAGCTCATCCCCACCACCACCCACACCATAAACTGTCACTGAGCCACCTGGACAGAAAAGAATTTAAAATATTTTTGCACCTTCTTGCTACAAGTCTTAAATCTTAGACTGTGTATTTTCTCACAAAATCAGTCTTGCTGTACTTCCATAGATTTTATTTTGGGAATAAATATGTCTTGTCTGACATAGAATATACAAAACTAATTTTTTTTTTTTTTCCCCTAAGTGTCCCTCATTCCACTTAAGAAGTTTATTCTTTAGCACTCATTTTATATTTATTCACCAAAACTTGTATTTTGTTGATATTCTAATGCCATCTTGTACACTAATGTTTTGAAGGTTAAAGTTCAAATATCAGTTCCAAATGTTAACAGATTTAACAGATTAACATTAGATTCAATGTTTTTGATTAAGATTTTCATCTGAAATATTCAGATTAGTGCAATTATTTTCCTTTTTTTTTTTTTTTTTTTTTTTTTTTTTTAAATAAAACAAATTTTTCTTTACTATATAAACTTTTATCCTTTTCTTAGCTGAAATAATTCGTCAGTGCACATGTATTTTTTTTTCCCCTAACTTGTTGAATAAAATTGATTTTCTCCAAACATTGTGCAAATCTAATCACATAACAAGGAGTGACTGTTAACATTCTCTTTGGATTCATGTAAATATTTAGTTTATTCTAGTACAATTATATTAATAATTTTTCATTATTTAGAAATTTAATGAAAAACTAAACCATAGGCAGGAGTTAACGGTTTTTTGCAGACATCAACAAACTTTCGGATTAAATAATTAGCATATAAAAAAAAAAAAAAAAATTCCCATACCTAAGTATAATTCTTAAAAGCTTAGCCAAATCATTAAATAGGAAAAACCCTTTTTGTAGTCATCAAAAAACAAAAAAAAAAAACAAATTGAAATTCAGTGCAATGCGATCTGTATATAAAACACCCACTTGAATAAACAAATAAATAAATAGATAATCAGATGGACAATAATAAAAGACAATTCCCCAGACACATAACGACTGTAGGCGCGCCATAAAAATATCCCTCACTGGGAACTAACTAAAGGGTGACCACAAACATTAGCCTTGAAATAGATACCCTACCCAACCTTGGCAAAACCTCTTAGAAGATGATGAATCTATTGATAAAAATTAACTCTCTGACCACTTAACGAAGGAAAATAGTCTAGCCACTCCCACAATAACGAATTCTGTAATGGACCGTGCCTAAAAATACACGTAAACCGAGAGATAGCTTATTCCTAAAATTTCACTTGAGGATGAAACGGGACTAAACACCACAATCCAACTTAATTTTAATAATTATTTGGATGATTTTGGCTCTCGTTTTTGAAACATGAGAACTCTTATGTAGCAAAGGAATCATATTTTTAAACAAAAAATATTATTATAATATGAGCTCTACTCTTGTATGGAGCACTATCTTCTTAAAAATAAAAACAAAAATACTAAGGAACCCCGGATTATGCACCCAACGTGTTCTTTTCTATTTTCTGCATACCTATGCACTTATATATATATTTCCATATATAAGGCAACCTTTCAATAAGGCAACGTAAAATAAAATATAGTAAATTTTCATGAATTTATACCTGTAATGTAAGACTAGTGCTTATTGATTATATAAAGATTATTGGAAATGTTGTTACTTACTCTATCCTTAGAAATATGAAATAACAAAACTGTTTCTATATCATGTTTTTCATACACATGTCCCCAAAAAAGGAAACCATTGTTTTGTTTACATTTCATCATGTATTCTTCTTTTTCTATATCTAAACAAACAGCCTGGTGTACTAATGACCATTTACTTCATTGACAATCACAAAATACTGCTAATAACAGCATTAGAATAGTACATTCTATAGCTGTGAACACACTCATAACTCTGTGTTTACAATGTCTCAGCTGAACTTGCATGGATACAAGTTGATTTCATTGATATGGAATTATTCTTTGATTAGGCAATTTATTATGAAGCTATGCCAGTAATATATAAGGTAGAAATGGTTTTATTACTTTTATCAGTTTTCAGGATTTCAGAGACACTTAGGTGAGGCATGGCCAAAAAAAGAAAAAGAAAAGTTTGGGAACCACTATTCTACACTGATTTGAGCCTGTGAAAATAAATGTTGGCTATTCTTGCTCATGTTATATACTTTTCTATCTTATATTTCTTTTTACTTACCTCTGCAATAGCATTTCTTGTATGTAGAACAGATCTCTTTTTTTATTTTTATTTTTTGCTATTTCTATTGTCATTGCTTGTGACCGATTTGAAGAGGCAGATGTTTACCCCCATCTCTACTTGTGATGAGTTGAAAAGAGAAAAACCTAGCTGGTTGTCACAAGGAATACTTGCAAGCTTCATATCAACATATATTTGTATATGTATATTTAGGTGTTTAAGAGGGACTTTCCAATCTATAGTTCATATATATATATATATAGTCACATTTATGCTTCCCATCCTAAGTATCACAATGGACCTTACTTATGACTCCCAGTTCAAGATATTAGCCATTAAACTATTCATTAGGACAATTTGCTTATAATCTTTTGTAAATGGTGAAGATTTTAATGCTCAATTACTTGTATAGCATCTATCTGTATATATATATATATATTCTTAAGCTGTTTTTTTGTTTTGTTTTTTTTTTTCTCAGTGCATTGTTTTTTTTTTTCCTTCAGAAATTGTTGATGGCAATGTGAAAATGACACTCGGTATGATCTGGACCATTATCTTAAGATTTGCCATCCAAGACATTACAGTAGAAGGTAAGTGCATTTCTCTTTCTATTCCAGTAAAATCTCAGTCTAAAGACAGGCTTCATCAATTTGTAGTCATCTTCACAATAGCTTTATCCACCACTCTGGCCAACTCGGGGTCTTTATGAATTGACAAGTTGCCAAAGCTGCTAACGAGCAGTGATTAGCACTCAGTTCTTTCAGAGAATCCTCCGTTTGTTGCATTAAATCCTGCATTATATACATGAGTGTTTTACAGAACTGTTACAGTCTTTTGCCAATTTCGTGCTTGATTTTTAGACATAGCTCCTTTCATTTATGACCCTATATAAATGCTATTAAAGAGTTTTAAAGAGGTACATTGGCTCTTGTCACAATACATGATAGGACCAATAAATTGACTTTGAATTCTGGTCACTGCTCTTTGGTAGCATTTTCTCATTAATGTTGCAAAGAAAGGCATGAACCCAATCATACTGAATTGCAGATATCTACACTCTTGCTACTGTCATTGCCATGCTATATAGTGAGTGAACAGACAGCAAGTCTGCACTTTTTATCTACAAGGCGATGATAAATGAAAGGCTACTTTTCAGCATATGGCCTAAATCAGTGACAAATCATTGTAATAAATAGTTTTTCTTATTTGCTGAGTGAATAATATACATTTGCTGGCAGTTTAAAAAAAAAAAAAAGACTTTTCTCACCAAGTAGGAATGTTTCTGATTTTTCAAAACAGCCACAAAAATGTTGAGTCAGAAAGGATCTGTTCAACGAGACTAAATAAAGCTTTCAAGTTTCTTTAGACAATTTGTCTAAAAGTAAATATAAAACCTGGATTTTTAAATAATGATATAATCGAGATACTGATGAAGTTAACTGATCTTGAGACTGATTAGTACCTGATTAGTACCTAGATGGATGACCGCTTGGGGAATACCAGGTGCTATCAGTACTTAGATGGGTGACTGATTGGAGAATATCCTGTACTCTCAGTACCTAGATAGGTGACCATTTGGGAAAATCAGGTGCTGTAAGCATTGAATATACAAGGTTGTATAATGGATATTGGTTTGGAATTGTAATAGGAGAACTGAGTTCCAATTCTTGTTGGGTTCGTTATATTCACTTATGCCCAAATACCCTTGGGGAAAGTATAAATCTACCTCTTCTCCCTCCAGCTATGGGTTAATTAGTAAGATTTGTAACACTAAACCATTATCTAAAAAAACTCCAAAAAACCATCAATCTAGAAATATTTTCTACTGTAAAGGGTTAATAACCTGTAAAAAGTAAATGAATCACTTGGTATAGTGACTTTCCACACCTATCTTAAAAGGTTTGGAAGGAATCTCCTAGCAGTACTTGAAAATGTGGTTATAGTGAACTTGAGAAATCTATTTTTCTGTTTTAAGAGAAAGGTTTTATTAATTTCAACCACCACCATCAACAACACTGGCCAATGAATTCCAAATGTTTCCTGTTTGGAAATGGTGAATTTCATCCTTTCTAAGAAAAAGTAAAGCTCAGTCCATAATACTGTATATACTTGTGGATAAGCTGACTTCTTGTATAGTGCAAACCCTGAATTATTAAATTTTTTTTTTTGCATAGATTTTAACCACTGCAGAAAAAAATTTACAGTGTATAGTACCAACTGGTTACTAAAATTGCATGATTTTTAATCTCTTCCAAGAAATTATGTGACCCTCCATTTTTTGCATAAAAAACTGACCATAAAAATTTACACTCTATTTTATACAGTAAATTGTACCAAGTTTTGGATTTTTTTTTTTTTTTTTTTTTTTTTTTTAATAAATTTTGGTCTTCAGTACTTGAACATGTATTTGATGACAAAAGTAATGTTTTATAAAAGATTTACGATTTTAATTCCAAGTTCATTCAAACAAAGTTCAGAATGTTTCCAAGTTTTAAAATTTACCTCTCCTATTTTTTAAATGTCCCTTATAAACAAATTGTCTGCAAATTAAAGTTATTGATAGTTAATTTTATCAAATATGCAGCACCTTTTTTTTTTTTTTTTTTTTTTTTTCCTTTGTTATATGTAAACGGGGGGGCAAAAAACGAGTAATGGACAATTTGTTAAATGAAATAGACATAGGTTGTGAATTTTCTGACCAAAAACTTTGGTGTGAACAGTAGAAATGCAAATAAAAAAAATCAAAAATGTGTTTGTAGATAAAAATTAATGGGATGTTCTTTATTTATACATTTTTTTTTTTTTACTAAGAATATTTATTTTTATTTCTACCTCTTTTCCACAATTATCAAAATTTTCTAATATTGGGTTTGTTTATTTATTTATGTATGTATGACTCCTTTATAATTTATTTTCTGTGTTTTTGTTTATCTGACATTAACAGGTAAATTACATATACATATGTGTTCCAAAGGTTGTCATAGCTGGGGGTTGTAGAGGAGACATTCTCTCATTGTTTGTGTCTCAAATATCCTCTGACAATTAAGTCCAGCTCCAAGGTGGGCCACTGGTGCCTCATAACCAGTTACTTTTGGTAGAGCAGAAGATCTTGTCTACCCTGATAGGCAGTTCATTTAGGGGTTGGAAAACCCTGATTTTGAAACCGGCACTACTTTGTAGTTATATCCAAACACTGAAAAGACTATGAAAGTAAATCCAGATAAAAAAAAAAAGAAAACCCAGGCTGGCTCCGTTAAGTTGGTCAGCTGTCAACACTGACAATCTTTTGGTAATTCCTGCAGCCAACTTAGCTCCAAATGTAATGCCATGTATTTTTTGGGATCTTGTCAGTACAGCTGAGTGGTGGACCATATGGCCTAGGAAGCACACAGCCTTCATATACCATCAGTCAGGCCTTCACCCTAAAGGACTGAATTTTGACCAAACAGGATATTACCTTGAGATAAATATATACCTAATAAGAAAAAAAGAAGAAAATCTCTAGGAAGATGAAAGGAAATGACATATAGTTATATCCAAACACTGAAAAGACAAAAGTAAATCCAGAAAGAAATACCCAGGCTGGCTCCCCAAATGTGATCAGCTGTCAACACTGACAAACTTTTGGCAATTCCTGCAGCCAAGCTAGCTCCAAACGTAATGCCATGTATTCTTTTGGATCTTGTCAGTACAGCTGAATGGTAGAACATATGGCCTGGGCAAAACACAGCCTTCATATACCATCAGCCAGGCCTTTACCCTAAAGGACTGAATTTTGACCAAACAGGACATTACCATAATCTCACAAAATAAACAGATGCCTACTAAGAAAAAAAGAAAAGAAAACCTGAATAGTGGGGAGTAAAAAAAAATTGATTTTTGCTAGGATTAAAAAAAAAAAAATATTTAAAATTTTTCATTATTTCCATTCAGACTGGTATCCTTATCATTGTTGTTTTTATCATTAGTCCAATTGTAAATAATGTAAGTAATTCATCAAAAAGATTCAGACAGAAATCAAAAATTATCAAGTCATAAAAACTGAAGAAGAAAAAAAACAGTATTTCCTTTGATTTCATTCTAGCTTCAAATTGCATGACTTGTATCAGAAAACAGTTATCTCCAAGAAATTGTTAATACAATATTCACTTGTAAAAAAAAAAATCTTACAATCCCAAAATCTGTTTTGGCTTTAAATAACCTACAAAAGGTTGCTAAGCCATAAAAAACAAATCAGTCAATGATTTCATTCTAGCTGGGAGCATCATTTTGATTCATTCAATACACTTTTTAAGAAAAGCCAGTCTCCTTTTAAGCTATTAGCAAAATCAATGTTTTTTTGTTTTTTTTAATAAGAAGAAAAGTTAGTATTTCAATGACAAAACCTGTGAATTCTGATTTTGGTAAGTAGGTTGTTCAGAGAACTTTTCAGCCTTTCCCCATTGTCTATCCTATTAGATTCTATATATTCTATTTGCTCTCTGTGTTAGAATAACCAGGTCTTGAGAGACATACCTGAATTAAGACAAATGTAATTCCTTCCCATCCAAGATGAAAGTATTTTTCCTTCATATTTTGTAAATAACAATTGAGAAAGTGTGGGCCTTTTTATTTTTATTTTGTTTTCTCTCTCTACTTTAATCTTTTCAGAAAATATTTTCCATATTGATTTTGACAAATACTTGTTCAATATCAAGAATGTTAAGACTATTGATTTTGGTATAGATCTTTAGTGTTGTAGGCTAAAATTTTGTTTCAAAAGTAAAATATACTTTTCTTTTTGATGTTGTTAAAGAGTCAGTTAGTATTGATAAAACATTTTCTTTCTGTAACTAACCTATATCTTAACAGTTGTATTTTTCTTCAGTTCATTTCCCCAACATCGTCTATTCTGTCTGACATTGTTTGATTTTTAATATATTTCTTTTGTTTTTCACTTTCAGAAATGTCTGCTAAAGAAGGGTTGCTGCTCTGGTGTCAGAGGAAGACAGCACCTTACAAAAATGTTAATGTACAGAACTTCCATCTCAGGTTTGTTATTGTTGTTGTTCTTGTCTTTAGTTGTTTATGACACTTTCATTATTTGACCTTTTTATTTACTGCTTCCTGGACTCTGTTGCACCGAAGAAGAAAAAGTGCACAAAAGTTCACTGAGCAGAGCAATTCATTTTTATGCTTTCAATTTGGATCTTAACTGACCTTCAAGCTTGTTTGAATATTTTAGTCTGGATCAGTTGAGGTGAAATTGATTCCTTTTTGTTTTTTTGTTTGTTTCTTCTTTTTTTCTTTCTTGGTCATTTCAAACTTACATGTGTTTGCAATGTTTTCTCACCAATTCTCAGTGTTTTTTGATATATCTCCTCTTCCTCAGCATTTGACCTTCTGCTGAGGTTACATTTCTGCTCTCAGTGGAGCTAAAGCATTTAAGGTGATACAAACTCAAGGAAACCCTATACAGAATTTACTTTTTCTATAGAATACATGGTGCTCAGCTTGTGAATGAACAACTGATTATATGCTTCACAATTTGAATTTAACTTTGTTTTTAAACTGAAATCTGATGTACTAAGGAGTGAAACATTTATGTAAAATGTTTTGGATAAATATTTATGATAATAATCTGTTTTGCATAAGAATTTCTTTAGGTATTGAAAACTTAGAAAACATTTACATATGAATGGAAACTGAAATAATTTTGGTAAATTCTGTATATCCATTCATTTGGTTTCCATCACTGAATTTTTCTTCATAAAGGGACTTTTTTGAATCATTCATGTTGTTTTCATTTTTTTGTCAGTCAAATGAATTTTTTTTTTTTTTTTTTTTTTTTTTCAATCAAAGACACAAAATGCTCAAGCTACTGTGATTCCTGTTGTGTTTCTAATGAAAATGATTTAATTTAAATGTGAAAATGTTGGCCTAAGTAGGCAGACTGGTTTGTAGGAATAGATTCTATAGTCTGGGAATTCCAAATGCTTCTCTTGAGACAAGTGGAACTCGTATATACAATATATTGTTATTGATGCTGGAAAAATGGTTGGTTCTTTTCTACTATAACTAACTAATTCCACTTGCTATAGTCTGTTTAGAAGATTCAGATGAAACCCCAAAAATGGAATATTTTTGCTATATCTGGGCTGGAGCTACCCAGTCCTCATTTGCCTGTTTTGACACTTCAACATGCCTTGTGCATAAAGAATTATTTTCCACCCCTATGATCCTTTCCCCATAGACAAATTATCATAAGCCTCTCACTACTTTATTGCTATTTTTATGACAAGTGTTCTGATGAGCTACATTCCTTAGTTCCACCAGTCCTTACCTTTGCAGCTGTGACCTATCATGCCATATACTTGGGTATAAATCATTTACATTCCCTTTGTATTCCATTAAATAGCCGGGAGTTCTACTTGGACAGCTTCTTCCCAAGAACTTCTGCTTTGTGGAACAGATACCCAACAGGATGCTTTCCCAATCACCACAATCCTTAACCTCTTCCAGTTTACAGGTTAATTGTTATCCTTCCTACATAACCTCATAAACTGCACTTCTTGTATTCTCTTATGCTCATACCATATCATACACTAACACTCTACCTTGAGTGGGCCTTAGGTGAACATAAATATTAAAAAAAAGAACTTTGTAATAACTAGCTGAAATATTAATTTTGATTTTCTGATTATGTTAATGACCAAACCTTTAAATATGCAAGGAGAAAAAAAAATAATTTGTATATTTGTTTTTATACTACCAGTTAGGATAGATGATGCAAATACCTGAACACTTTGATTCGCTCTCATGATTACATATTTAGGTAATTTTGCAGATTCTAGTAGGGCTTTGTGATGAATGGAAATGAAATAATCATATTTGTATCTTTAGTACTAATTGCACTAGGATGTGTAAACAAGATGTCAACTTTTCTTATCAATAGCCACTGGCTTTATCATTACTCTTCCAGTTTTCCACTTAACTGTAGTCATTTTGTACAATAACAGAATAGATTTATGGCAGTAAGGAAAAAATAATTATGAAGTACAGAATTATTCAATTTTTGTCCTAAAATGTTTTGGACATTTTTATGCACGTATGTTGTGCTTTGAAAATTATCTAAAAAGGGATCATCAGTGTTCAGGAATGAAGGTGAGCACCGTCGGCATTTCACTGGAAAATGGCAACAAATTGCAAAAGGAATAGAAAATTGGCTGAAAAATGATGGCAGATTAATTATTATTTTTTTTTTTTTTTCCAAAATTTATGTAAGTTATTTATGGTGTAAAAGCAAACCAATTTTGGATAAAATTCAGTTATTATTCCCCCCTGCCCCTGTTGTCAACAGTAACACAAAGAGACTCCATGATTCTAATATTGCTTGAAGAGACAATGTAAGTATATGTTTGTCTTAGCTTTCTTCTATTCAAGAATTCAATAGGACTTATTTGTAAATAACTGGCAGTTGATAAGAGAGAAGAATGAAAAAAGGAAAAAGCCTGATTGTTAACATAGATATGACTAAATGTTAGGAAGAAGAAAAAAAAATGGGGGGATTGTATTCAGACCACAATAATGACAGTAGTTGTGGTTTTTGTCTGAAGCCAGGAACTGGGGGGAAGAGGAAGGGTTTAGTGAATGTAAAGTAGTGTGAGATTAGCCATAGTCCAGGGGAAGTTGTGGGGTGGTATTTGTGCCCAGTGTATTAACAATTAGGATGAAGGGGAAGGAGGCGGAAGAAAAAAAATGTAGAGGAAAAAGTCCATATTTGGTAGAAGAGAAATGTGGAGAAAAGTTCTTTCTCCGCTGATATCCTGCATTGTCGACATTGCATACCAGTGCAGCCACACCTTACTGGAAGAGTTAGATGAATGAAAAAGAAAGAAGAAAGTATTTTTCATTCTTTAAGTTCTGTTTTATTTCTTTATTTGTTTTCTTTTCTTTTTTTTTTTTTTTTTTTTCAGATGATAAATAAAATTTTTAAAAATCATAAAAATAATTCTGGTTGTAGATATAAACATTAACAAGACTGCAACCTAATGATAAAAAAAAAAAAAAAAACTTTTGCAAAATAAATATTTATTATTCATCATATTCTTTTCTTGTCAATGCACTTAATTCAAGAGTGGATATTAACCTAGACAAATACTGTTGAGTGAAAATTTCAGATCAAAATTCAATTCTGGTTTTGTTATACACCCCATAGCTATTATGCAATATTGAACTGAATTTTTTTATAAAATATTGATATTTTATAAAAACTGGATTGATTTTTTTAAAAAACTGGATTGATATTTTATAAAACTGGATTGATATTTTATAAAAACTGGATTGATATTTTATAAAAACTGGATTGATATTTTATAAAAACTGGATTGATATTTTATAAAAACTGGATTGATATTTTATAAAAACTGGATTGATATTTTATAAAAACTGGATTGATATTTTATAAAAACTGGATTGATATTTTATAAAAACTGGATTGATATTTTTTTGTAATGAAGAATTATCTGTATTATATGATTCTTTCTTTGAACCAGAATACTCTTCTTTGTTGTTATTCTTACAATGGTTCAGCCATTGTACCTTCTAGCTTTCTTCAGATTCTATTCTACTCAATAGACTTTATGGAATTTTTTAACCAAATTTGTTATTCAGTCTGTGGGAATGGATTATACTCCTTTTACTCTGCATGTTTAGGAGAGCCTCTGATTAAGAAAGCAAGGACACTCACAAATTGTACTGAGCGCAGATATTAGAATTGCACTGGGTTTTCCATTAAAGCATATCTGCTTTTCTGGATGTTGTGAGTTCAATTCCTGGTTTAGGTAGAGCAGAAAAAGTTCAGTGGAGAAAATGAACAAGTGGCACAGAGGGGAATAAACAAAAGAGAATTAACTGACACAAGATATCCACTTAACATGAAAAACAGAATGGGGGTTTGATTCAAAATTCCAGGGTGGTTAGTTAGCAGGTACCTGAAAAGAAGTCAGAGAGTACAATGCATGAAACATAGCAACCATGGTGATAATACTTATCTGAATAGTAAGGTATATAATAAGAACTTAAAGAAAATAATATTTTCTTTTTTGGGTGTATTGGTGTGAGATAAGTTTTATTAATCTGTCCCATTTATTGAAATAAGTTTAATGTTCTGATGAACGGCATTCCTAGCTTCCACTAGCCTTGACCTTTGCACCTGGGATTCACCATGCTATGTACACAAGGATGAATCATCTTCATTATCTTTGTATTCCATTGGTAAGGAGTAAGTTCCTCTTGAATAGCTTCTTTCCAAGGACTGCTGCTTTGTGGAACAGACTTCCAGCAGTTTGTTTTCCCCGCTCACTACATTCTTGATTTCCTAAAGTCTAAGGTTAACCGTTATCTTTTCTACATAACATCATGAACTGCACTTCTTGCCTTTTCTCATGCTCATAGAGCATCACACATTAACCTTCTACCTTGAAAGGCTCTTGCACCTTGTATTGAATAAAAAAAAAAAAAATTCATAACTCTCTCTTTCAAAAAGAATTAATTTAATTTAATGGTTATCACAACAGCATTTTCTCACTACAAAAGGTTATATCCTGCATAAATCCTGTATTCCTTGTAGAAGTGAGCATTTTCAGTTCTGCCATGAATTGCTTTTAGTAACAAGTCTAATAGAAGGAAAACTACCAAAAAAACTCCATACCCTAAAGAAAGAGAAGAAAGAATTAATCATCAACTAAAAGACACAATGCATAGTTGTCAGCAAAAGAGAAGACAACAGAAGTTGTGAGCTTTGAATTTGAGACATCATAATCAAACAGGTACAAGGATTTAACTATATTTAATAATTGACGTTGGAAAATGCGAAAAAAATCAGAATAGCAAAAGAGGCATTCCAGAATCTAAGAAAGGAAATAGTGCTAAACTGCTGTGTCATGTTTACCCTCATGTATGGTAGTAAATGCTGGACAATTTCTTTACATATAAAAAAAATAAAACTTGAACTGACAGATGTGGTTCTACAGAAGGATGCTGAGAATACT